CAATAATATTCGACAGTTGGATTGATCGTTAACGAAGAAATTATTTCCTATAATATGTGTAATAATTATCGTATGAAAATTGTAACGTAATATCAATTGTTACAATTTCCTTTTTTTTTTTTTTTTTTTAACTAAATCCCATTGTCAAAGATTACATACAATAGAAAATGAAAAGAAATATATATTGTCTAATTGTTTAATTAAATATTTTTATTGCTCATATTATATTACATTAAACGATTAGATTTAGCTCAAGCGCAATAACTGTATCATCCCCCCTACTCCCTCCTTAAAATAAGAATTTAATTATTTTTAGCCACTAGAAGAAAATGAAAATATAAATTTAGTACGTATGAATTTCCTTAAACTTATCGTCTATATCGGTTTATTAAACAACATCCAAACGAGGATAGAGTTTGTCGAGAACTATACCAAGAATTTTATATACAAAGAAACTTACTACTTACTTGTATATGTATTATATTTAGATACTTATATTGAGTTACTTACTAGACATGATTCTATTTTATTTTCTTTTATTTTGTTTTTCCTCCTTCTAATCGTACAAAAAGAAACTTCCTTTACACGAGTAAATAAAACATTTCTTCAGAGAAAGTTTTCAAGTAATGAAAAAGGGAAGTACACTTGTTGTTAAACTTCATTGGTAAATACAAAGTTAGAGAGATATGAAAAGGGAATAATTATTCACAATGCTATTTAAAATTAGGATCGTATTTAACAATGTGAAGGGCCTTTCAGAAAACAACGAATATGAATACTTAGTTAATCATTAAATAATTGTTAACCTAACTAAACATTTGTATTCGAGTAAACGCATGAAACATTTGGTATCGTTTCAAAGTTTAGACATAAGTTTTAGAAAATTGCAAACATTTTCTATCTTTCCATTTAACAGCAATTTTTGAACAAAATTAAAAAAAAAAAAAAAAAAAACAATTGTACTTACGTATTAACGCTACCACAGCAAAAATTCCGCTAATGCGCCAATAAAGAGCAATCTTGTTGTTCGCATCCAACAACCTTGTTGTTTGCACACAGCAGCCGTCAGGGTTGCATCAGGGTTTCGTCAGGATTTTGTCAGGGTTTCGGCAGGGTTATGGCGAAATTCGAATGTGACTACTTTTTATAAATAAAATGTTTTAAATTTTCAAAATGTTTTGATTTTAAATAAAGTTTTTTGTTCTATGATTTGTCGCAACAATTTAAGGGTGTAGATTGGTGCATTAGCGGAATTTTGCTGGGGTGACGTTAATACGTAAGTACCAACACAATTTATGAAAGGGAATTTAAGAATAAAAACACAAATTATTTCGATTTTTATTGACATTCCCTCTTAAATCTCCGGCCCTGTTTGACATCGAATTTTTCGCTCAAATAAGAAAAAAGGACTTAAAGTAAGGGGAAAGAGATAAAGAATGGATAGTCCTTCGATTGTTAGAAATATTTCACGAAGATAAAGAATACTGTCTAAGCGGTTTCACGTAAAGTACTTAAGATACTTCTTTGAGTTTACGTACAATAAGAATAAGACTTTTTAACAAAAGTGTCGCAACTTCCGGAATAAAAAAAAAATAAATAAAAAAGGACTAAAAAAGGATACAGTCGTTTCTGAATGCACCGTCACAACTTCTTTCTGCGTATCCTTCTAACGCGTAATAACATTGAGAAGTCACTTAAACTTTTCTCTACCATTTCAAAACTTTTTCTTCTTTTCTCATTATCTCTTTTATATACAGGATGTTTCATTTTTATTTCATTAAATGACGTCATCGTGTATTTTTTAAGATTAGAAATAACAAGAAAAATAATTTATTCATAATAATTGTTTTTTACATTATCTTCTTAATGTATATAAATTACGTGTCACGTTGTTTGTCCGCAATGGACACCTAAACTATTGAACCGATTTGAATCAAATTTTGCACACTGTGTGCAGTTTTATCCAACTTGAAAGACAGGATAGTTTATATCTCAATTTATAATTGCAATATTATTTTATTGCGAATTATGACTTAAAGACGTGTGTTTGGGACTGATTGTGGAGCCACAGGAACGCGTGAAGGGGCACCCCTAGTATTCTTATAAATTCCATAAACGATAATTCGAACTATTTATAACTTTTCCTATTTTTTGTTAAGACTTTGTATAATAAATTATTTACGATTTATATATATATATACAGGATAAGTCACGGAACGTGACGTTTCAAAATAACTCGTAAAATATTAATCGTAGGAAAAAATGTTTCCTTGCATGTTTAAACTAAATTAGGAAGCAAATGTATTGGTTAACGAAACGTTTTTTTAAGTTACATTTTTAAAAGAGACATCAAAGTCTTTTTTTTTTTTTTTTAAATGGAATGTCAAATTTTTTTTCTGCATTCGAAACAAAAATGTTTTTTTTTTTAATTTTTAATCGTAGAATATTCTAACAGTATTTTTGAATGAATACAAATGAAAAGCGTCCTCTGTATATTCATCGTTCAATTGAAATTATAAATTCGAAAAAATGCATTTTTTTTTTTTTTTTTTGATATTATTTCAACCAGAAATGAACGGGAATAAATTATTATGTATTAAATACATTTGTGTTTATCCAGAAAAAAGCTTCGATTTTTTGCAGTTCTTTTTTTTTTTTAATTGATATTTTACGTTTGATGAGTAACACGAAGAAGAAGAAGAAGAAGAAGGAGAGAAAAAAAAAATTATTGACCAAAGATCGGAACTTAGTTTCGTTTACATCAATAAAAAAAGAGAAAAAATTAAAAATGTGAAATGCCGGAAGAAATAGTAGCTTTTTAATACCCACACTATGTTCCTCTTACGTTCCACAATATATATATATATATATAGATGAGGAAGCAATCCTTTAGAATATTTATTACGGACGTAAAACGTTACCCACGTTGAAGAGTAATATCCTGACGTATACTGTTTATCGTATACAGGAACGACTTACTATCGAGTTACTACAACCTTACTCGAATTACGGTAAATCGTGAAAATTGGAGAAGCTAATATCTAACGATTTCCTATCAAAATATGAACGTAATTTTTTGTTTATTTTTTTTTTTATTCCTATTTTTCTATTTTTCTATTTTTCTATTTTTTTTTGGCTTTTTTTTCTTTGGTTTTTTTTTTTAAAGTTCTACAAATATCGATATTCACTTTTGTATTATAATAATCGTGAAAATTGTAGAAACCAATATATTTATAGTTTCATATTAAAACGTGAAAATATTTTTTTATTTTTTTTTTAGTTTCTTTGTTAGAGTTCTTCAAATATCGATATACAAATTAAATTTTGAATGATAATAATTGTGATAATTGTAGAAGTCATAATACTCAATGATTTCATATCAAAACGTGAAGATAATTTTTATTTTTAATTTTGTGTTTTGTTTCTTTATAAGAGTTCTTTAAATATCGATATACAAATTAAATTTTGAATAATAATAATCCTGAAAAATGAGGAATTCAATATCTTTATAGTTTCATCTTAAAAATGTGAAAAAACGGGGGGGGGGGTTTTTTTTTTTTTTTTAATTTTACTTTTCATTTTCCACATTTTAATATTGAAATTAGCCTTCAGATAAGATTTTCTCCTTTGAAAGATAAATTTCTACGTATACTCTACTACTGTTTAAATACGATAATAGATTAGAATCAGATCAGATAAGAAAAACAAATTTCACCACAAAGATACTTTCAACATTAATTAAATGCTTTTGAATAAAAGTGAATTGTTAATACAGCTAATTTTAGAATTTTCCAGTGATTATTTAGTAAATTTATCATGCTTTACTTATATACCTATATATATATATATATATATATATATATGCATAGGTATATAGCTATAGGTAGTTACATAATACGAATTAGACTGTCTACATATTTCTAGTACAGGAAAACGTGTAAATAAAGTTGAACGTAGAAACAACAGTTGCTATTTCCGTTGTGTAAAATAACCATAGAATCGATTTAAAGCTCTGGCTTTCGATCTTCTACAATGACGTAGGCAATCGGTCATACTGCTTATAGTTTACATTTGTACTATATATATATATGCATACATGTTATTATAGTCGAGGCTAGGTAATACGAAATACTGCAAGTAGTATAGCTCGGTATATGATCAAACGCAAAATTGAAAAAAATTGATAGATTTACTTTTGTTTCGTTTTTTTTTTTCCAGAAAAAGATTTTTATTCAATTTTTGACATACAAATAGAACAAATTTTAATAAAATAATCTGAAAATATTTGTTCATTTGTCTAAACTAAATTTATAAATAGAAACAGAACCAAATGTTAATATTGTTAAATATTATTTAATTAGATTGATATATTTAATGGACGATATAATTATATCGAAAATTGTGACAGTGAACTGACAAAGGGTTCCATTAGATTTTCAAAATACCTATTTTTTATTTAAACTCTGAACAGTTACAGGGATTCTCATTAAGATTGTAGACCATGCAAGTAGTAATACTCAACCATTTTCAAGAAAATAATTTTACATGCATTCTTATACCAAATATAATAAACAACGATGGATTGGAAAGTTTTTGAATTTAATATAGGCTTAAAACTTTACAGCCCTTTTAGTGGTAAGTTTAAATTTGTTCATACAATCTTCTTTTATTACTGGTATTATAACAATATTTTAAACATTTCTTTTAAAAAATCTCGAAAATGGTTGAATGTTAGCATCGAATCCTACAGTACAGTTTATTGTACTAATGAACCCTTACAACTGTAGGCATAGGAAGGTTTGATTAACCCTCTGTAAGTTCGCATTGATATAATTATCAATGCAATTAACTAACAACAAGTTAATACGATGAATTATATTTCAAAGAAATCTATCTCATATATTTTGCGAATGATCAAATACCGAGCTGAATTAAATAATACAAATAAATAACAGTATTCAACTCTACTGAAACAGCAAGACGTGATTTTTTGTTTTTAGCCGAAGCAGGAATCGCTGTTGCTGCGGAATTGAAACAACCTGAGGAAAGGACGGATGAAGAAAAAATGGCACTTTTGGGTAAACCGAGACTTGGTGAAGTGTCCAAAGCGCAAATTAGAATCAAAGAATCGAAGGAGTTCAAAAACACTGTGGATAAACTCGTTCAAAGGGCTAATGCATCGATATTGCTCGGTAAGTCTAAAAACTAAAAATATTATTCACAATTCTGACGAATTGTTGATTTTTTCTTTTATTTTCTTTTTTGTTTGTTTKTTTGAATCTATGCCAAAAAATAACATCTTCCGTTGTAACGTATTAATATATAATATATCAATACATGTTCAATCACGTAAACATTCCTAATTATAGAAATATATTCTTAATATATATATAAATTTCGTGTCACGTTGTTTGTTCGCAAGGGACTCCTAAACTACTGAACCAATTTTAATCAAATTTTGCACACTGTGTGCTGTTTCATCAAACTTGAAAGATAAGATAGTTTATATCTCAATTTTATTGTGAATTATTTGTTTATTAAACAAAAAATCATGATTATCTCCGTTAGTTCGATAAGATTCTAAACAGATGGCGATATAAGGTAATAGCTTATTTAAAAATCATAATATAATATATGCAAAATGCTTTATGGTTTATTTCCAAAGTTTAATTCGCTTAATGATTGTCACACGGTTGTGAACTCTAATTTGCTTTAGTAAAAGAAAATGAAAAAACAAAAGTAAAGAAAAAAGAATAATAGAAAAGAAAAGTTTCTTCAACTAGAAAATAGTTCGAGGAGAGTTCTTATAAGAAGGAAATGAATCGTCATCTTCCAAGAGATTACAGTTCGCAAGAACCATTAGTTTTTGAAAGCCATCATGTTAATCTTGTCATCACGGTTGAGAAATCATATTGTATTAGATTACCTTATTATTATTATTATCATTAAAGAAACTTTTTATAAGAAAAATAAATGTCATTGAAAAATTAATATTATTGTTTGTTATTTATTATCTTTCAAACTTTGTATTCGATTGATTGTAGAATCGTGATCATGCGTGTTTCCTTTTCAAATAATCGTATCGGGTAAATGTAATTAGGAATTTCTACATGATTGAACATGTATTGAACATCAATAACAAGTAATTTTTGTGACTATATGTATGTTATGTATAGATGTACTAATGAATGTTTCTGTGGTATGATTTATGCCATTCATAATATGATTATGATAATAATTATGGAAATATATTGTATTACGAAAACGTAAAAAAAAAATATATATATATAATATAGAATTTGATCGTTGCATAAATTTAACGTCAACAAAAGTTTCGATAGATATAGAAATATTTGATTTAATAATTAATTATAATATAATATTAATAATATAGAATTTGATCATTGTGGATATATTATACTTAAATACAAATTTCATATATCCAAATATTTATTTGATTTATATCGAACGTAAATCCGTATAATATATATATATATATATATATATATATATATATATATTTCACAATTCACAATCGTGAATACTATTTGAAATGCATTAGAATATGGTTACCTAATGGCATACACAGGTGCCTGGAATCATGTGAAATTCGAATAATTTGAAATTCAGTTCTTCTTGTGAGCTTTTTAATCGGACGAGGGAAAAGTCAAATGTTTCCACGTGGAAGGAAAGGAATGGAATGGAAACGAAACGAAAGGAAAGGATAGGATAGGATAGGATAGGGAAAGGAAGGAAAGGGAAGGAGAGCAGCTGAAATGATTGCTTTCACAAAGAGTGAGGGTGGTTAAAGCAAAAAGAGGGAATGAGAATGAGAATGAGAATGAGAATTAGAGAGAATGAGAAAGAGAATGAGAAAGAGAATGGGTCGTCGAAGCTAGAATCGACGAACAAAAGACACACCGGTATAATAGGGCAATCCGATAGCGAGTTTTCCGCAAAGCGATGCCGATTATCGAGAATGGCCTTGAGATGTAGTGGTAGTGGTGGTGGTGATGGTAGAGGTGGTCTCCCTTTTCTCTTCACATGACATTAGAAATCTACTCGTGCTATGAGATATGAAAGAATTTTCTATGTGTTGTTTCTTATATCGAACCTATGAGTTACATGCACCATTGTTTTTCCTTTAACGAACCCTTTGTCCGTTTTAAAGACCCTAAGCGTTTTTTCCCCTTAGGTACTTGAATACTTGTTTTTTCTCTTTCTTTCTTTCTTTCTTCCTATTCCTCACCTCTTCTCCTTCCACCACTTTTACTACTTTTTCGTACAACGAAGTGACGCCTTTGAAAAAAGAAGCAATGAGCCATTCTTTAAACGGCACAATTAAAGAAACTGGCTAAAGGTTTCTAGTTGTATATTAGACATTGCTAAAGAAAGATTCTTTTTTTTTTTTGTTTTGTCTTTCTTTCTTTCTTTCTTTGTTCTTGCGTTCGAATAGAACAAAGTTATTATTCGAAAGGTGCTATGTTGCTTTAAGTCAAATGACAAACTGACTGAACGATATATTTTATACGATTTTATTTGTATATTACACTTTTGTACAATAATTTATCCCTTTTTTCTTTTTTTGTGTGTTTTTTTTTTCTCTTTCTAACGTCGCAATCTCGGTTAAGTCAATTTTTTTGTTTCCTTTCCGCTATAAGTATAACTTTGTTACGGATACGCGAATGCGTTGTTAAAAGTTTGATCAAATATGAAATAAAAATAGAAAGAGAGTGAATGAACGCGTTAACAGCATCCACCCACCTCCACTTCCCCTGCTTCCCATTACTAAGAGTTTATGCAACTCGTTAACTCACTAGCCAGTTTCAATTCCTCTTTTCTCTCTCTCTCTCTCTCTCTTTCTCTCATTTCATGTAATTTTCCCTTTTGCAAACAAATTATTATGCATATATATATAATAATAAAAAAGCACCCGATAAACCAAATATTAGTGGTTGTTACCCCTTTCGTTAAATGTTATACGGTTTATCTTTGAATTACTTACACGTTAAAATAGTCCTCTTTTACAAGGCACAAGAATAAAAGGATTTTTCGATTGACAATGAGAATTATATGAAACGAGACAAAGAACAGACAGACAGACCACCCCATTCCCCCATCCTCCCACCCCTCTGTTCACCTGTTTCTATTGAATACACAAAGGAAGAACAAATGTATTATTAATTCGCTTAATTGAAGATGCAGAACTTGTATATTAGAACGTGGAGATGAAAATGAAAATATTGATCGTTCAACGAACAGATAGGATTGGCCTCTAAGTCCCTTAGCAGATCTTTGAAGATCTTGAATTCTCAAGACGATTCTCTGGATTTATTGAACGATATGCAAATAGTCTGTTAAGGCATTGGCAATGCGGTAGTATTTGAGTGTATCTCCCAGGATACGTGGATGTATCTATGGGTTCTTCAATAGTAAGATTTGACGTATCCCTTAACGGTGAAGACAATTTTAAATAGAACATGATATTGAAAGAGAAATAACAAAATACAAATAAACCAATTACTATTTAATTTATTATTGTAATATCATTGTGAGATAGAAAATATGGACAAATTGTTTGATTTTTATTTTCTTTTTTTTTTTTTTTTTATTTCTCTTTAACTCTCTTTTTATTTATTTATTTTAATCTGTATCTAATTATTTTATTATATATACAGTGATACAAATATCACTTTCTTTCTATTTAATTTATTTATTTATTCACATATATATATGCCTTTTTATTTACAAACATTTTTATCTAACACTTTCCTTTTATCTACTATTCTCTTTTTATCTATTAATTTGTTCATTCATTTATCTATATTTAAGTAACTCCCTATTTTCTATTTTTTTTTACTTAACCTAACACTTTTGTTCAGCCCGTGTATTTCTCAATTTTTCAAAAACACTTTAAGGAATGAAAGAAAAACCATAGTCACGAATTCCGTTCGTTAAAAAGGTACTTTCGAAGTTTCCGATATCTTCGTCGTATTGAGATCGTAACTCAGATTCCCTAACCCCACATTCCCATTCCCTATCCCTTCAGGGTGATTTTACCACTAGCTTTTTCTCTCGGCCAATGTTCTAGGAAGTAGCTACGTAAAGCTAGCTTACATACATACATACATATGTAGTCACTTGAAAAGTAAACTCGTAGAAATCCTGATATATTACTTACAGGTACCAGCTCCTGGAAGGAACAGTTTACGGAAGCATTGGCTGTCAGTGGTGGTTATGAAGAAGATGATGCAGAAGGTGGAGGTGGTGATGGTGGTGGTGGTGGTGGTGGAGTGTCATCTTCACCAACAACAGCCGATTATCTCATGCACTCTATTACTATCGTGTGGAAAGTACTTTTTGCTTTCGTTCCACCGACCGGTAAGTCACAACACTCACCTAAAATTACCTTAAGCATTTATATATTTGTGATTTTTTTGTGATTTCAACATATTCATTAACTATTCTTCATAATAACTATTTTTTTTAATTGCTTCGAAAGCAATTATGAATTTTTTATAATAGGTATTTTATATATTCGATATTTTATATTTTTTATAATATAAATAATATATAATTATATTATTATATGGTTGAATGTTGTTTATATTATTTTATATTGTTTTCTATATTGTAATATTAATATCTAATATTATATTAGGGCATAATTAGAATGAAGTATATTGTCATGGGGAACGAACATGTAGAAGGGGCCTCGGGGTAAACACCCTAAAGGGGTATAAAAAAATAAACTTCTTCTTCTATATAATTATATTATTTATATATAATACTATATAAATTATATTATTTATTATATTATAAATAATATATAATATATAAATTTTTTACAATAGATATTTTATATATATTCGTTACTTTATATTTTTATATTTTTAAAAATAATATTTCACACGAGAACGCAATAACTCAATCTTACAATTAAATATAGTAACTTATCGAAAATAACAATTCCTATTTAAAAAATCATAATTACAGTCAGAAATATTCTTCCAAAAAATATTATTAACCAAAATAATAACTTATTAATAACGTTAAAAATATATAAGAATGATGAAAATTAAACGGTGGCGAGAAATAGCGAGGGGGAATTATAAAGAAATAAAATCTAGGTTTGCGTAAAAAAAAAAAATAAAAACAAACAAACAAACCCCCTGTAAATCAAAACGATTCTTTGTACTTGGCAAGAAAAACTAGTAAAAAGTAAAAAATATAAATAATAAGGATTTAATTGTATACATATAAGTGTGCGTGTAAGCACTGGGTGTGGAGAGAGGGGTGGGGCGGGGGAGGGTGGAGGGGGGGGGTGAGAGCGAGCTGGAGGGTGCTGCCAAATCCGGCACGTTTACGTCACCCGTGGTTTTCGTAATAACAAAGAGAACTGACTGCAGTTGAAAACCAGTTGTGGTTTTTCGCCTTGTAATCGTCCTCGCCACTCGACCGTAAAGCTTCCGTACCGGTTAAATGCATGTAACGTGTCGACTGCTCAAACAATGGTGGTTTATGATCACCGAGGAAACAGGAGATAGATACATACATGGTTGGAAATAGGGGAGGAAGAAGTGGAGAACAAAGTAGAGAGAGAGAGAGAGAGAGAGAGAGAGAAAAAAAGAAAATATCATCTGTCAGTTATATACCGTCAAATTTCTTTCTCGACAGTATAAAAGGATAGCAAAACTATATCGTTTATTGTTCTTTTTAAAAAAAAAAAAAAAAAAAAAAAAGAAAAAAAAAAGAAGAAATTAAAACAAAACAACTTATTGATCCACGTTTAATTTGTTATTCGTTTGAAGTGGTTTTTTTTCTTTTTTTCTTTTT